CATTTTCCAAAAGCAATATCTATGCATTGCTGGTAGCATTAAACTGCTGAGACGAGGCTATTCTCCGCCTCAGAAGCGTCGGCTCTTACTGGCTGTTTCAATATCCAGTAGTTGCAGATATACAGAATTTGCGTCAAGGAGAGGTGTGACCTTGCAAAAAACGTTCCTACAAAATAATAAAATTATCAGCTTACCTTCTCTAATGCTCACTCGCTTCAAGCATATTGCACAACAATGGACGAATCCATCAGTTGACCTGGTATAGCTTTTTAAAGTCATGACACCACCACACGAACAAGTTTGCTCCTTACAGAGCAACCCTAAATCTAGGCAATAGTGGAACGCACTGTCCTCGAATTGCAACCGTAACCTTGTTAGGGCACGCATATGAAATGAATCAAGCGCTTTACAACATTGAATTAACGTTCATGAATCTCATTGGAAAATTCAACGTCGTTCGCTGATTGGTAGTTATTGGTGCTTAAAGTTTAACTTAGTCGTTGGTGTAGGCTAATGTCTATCAGTAAAGTTTACAATGTGGTCACTAGGTGGCTGTTCATCACGTGCACTGTGAATTGCTGATATGACACGGTCAGAGGCAGTTAACAGGCAGCCATGCTTGTCGGTACTCACCAGTCAGTCAGGCATATGTGTAACATTAAACGAATTCATGTCCGTTCTAAAACTCGTGTCACTAGCCAGTGTTACAGTCAGAGACGTTACCACTGAGCTAGCTGTTTGCGTTTTTGAACGAGGAAACACAAGAAGAGATGCGCCAAATGGTCGTAGCAATGGTCAAACAGAAAAAAACGACACACACACAACTCAACTCTCAAGAAATAAAGGCCCTCAAAAAGCTGAAAAATAGGAAGGACATCGTCATTCTGCCAGCTTACAAAGGAAGAACAACAGTAGTCATGGAAAGAGAAGAATACACTAAGAAAGCTGAGGAACTATTCAAAGACGAGGATGTATATCAACAAACTCCATACAAACATTAGACAACCGCATCCAAAGAACTTTAAACAAGCTCATCAAAACAGGTGAGATCGCAAAACAAGACCAATTTTGAATGAAATCAAATGAACCAGTCCTACCCCGATTCTACGAAAGACGCAAAGTACACAAGCTAAATATCCCATTACGACCAATTGTATCACTCCCAGGAACTCCAACATATAATTTATCCAAAGAATTATACAGAAAACTAAAACACCTAACGGAATCTTGTGATCACTCCATCAATTCTGTTATCCAATTTCCAGAGCAAATCAAAGACATTCAAACAGATGACCAAGAAATAATGACATCCTTCGACATCACAGAATTATATACCTGAATTGGACAGGAATTAGGAAAACACCAACCATGGAGCAATTACTCAGCGACGACGAACACCTTGACCACAACAGTCAAAAATGCCACACACATACAAGTTGGATGGAATGCATCAATGTATGCTTAACAACGCACTTCCAATTTAACAGCCGAATATATAAATAGGTCAAAGAAACACCCATGGAATTGCCAATATCAAGTTTAGTTACCAAAACAGTGATGCAGAGGTTCAAAAACATAATCTTATCAAAGATAAAACCCAAAATTTGGATACGTTATGTAAATGACACATTTGTAATAATCAAAAGAAACGAGTTAGATAAAACCCACAACTTAATAAACAAAGTCTTCACAAGAGAAGAGGAATCCGAGAGTGAAATCTCATTTTTGGACGTCCTAGTCAAGCGAACAACTACAGGGGAATTAGAAACTCAAGTTTATAGAAAACCAGCTCAAACAGACCAAATCCTGAATTACAACAGCAACAATCCAATAACACACAAAAGGAATTGTAATCAAATACTATTCAAGAGACCCGACTGGGACTCATTGCAGCACTCCTCTCTACCTTAACGAAAATTGAAGAATAATATCTCATGGACGTCTTCCAGAAGAATAGTAATCCAAGGAACTTCATCAAAAGACATCTACCCCTAAGCCTGCCTACCAAATGAAATGCCCCCAACGAAAACACAAAGAAAGTCGCCCCACAATACATAAAAGACATCTCTGAAATCACAGTAAGATTCTTTAAATCTTTAGGAATTGGCGTCGCACACTAACCAATAAAATCGCCTCACTCAACTCTATGTCCACTAAAAGACTCAACAACGAAAGAAGATAAAACCAACATCATCTACAAAATAAGTTGTAACAAGTGCGAAAAACACTACATTGGACAATGTGGACGACCCTCCTCCTTGTCTTCGTATCCATGAACATAAACTAGGCGTCTAAAGTTATAACATCCTCTCCATCATATCACTCGCTGCATACAGACAACCACGGACATCAATTCAACTGGGACAACCAACGTTCAAACATTAGGCAGAAGAAACACCAAGAATGCTAGGGAATTTTAAAAGGCTGTCTGGTATTTAGTAGTAACATAAATAAACCAATGTTTCAATGTTAGAGTTGTTTTACACAGAAGTTCAGGAGTAGTTCAATTTGCAACACTTCATAAAAGTCTTCATAAATAAAAGCGATTTAAATGAAAGCAAACTAAAATAAATTAAAATACACAGGAGAAAGAATCATTACACATGCAGAATAATGTGAATTTAATTTATCTAGAAGAGAACAAAGAGTGAATATGATCTGGATCATTGAGAATGATTTTGAGACATATCAACAACAATCTTCAGAAATTGACTGTTACCACCTGGATGACACCATCCAGATGAGTGAGACATGGCCATTGAAAGTGGAAGACATGAAAAGGCTGGCTAGCTAGCTGTATTTGATCATACGTGTCTGAGTTCTATCTCGCAAGTTTAGTGGTATAATAGAGTGAGCAATATTGGGTTGGTTAGGTATCCGTTGAGTGTTTGGTTAGGAATGAAATTAAGTCAACGAGGTTGTGGAGTTATATCGATTAAGAGATGGTTAGAACATGTGTTACGCATGCATCCCCACTAGCCATCGATTGCCTTCCTGGACAACGGGTAGTGTTAATTGCCTACATTGGTTGGATCAGGTTGGAAAAGAGGTAGTGTGGTCGAACCAAAACATGGCTTCATCAGTCAATCAAATCCATTTCTGCTAGGAAGCAGAACACCGTCTACAATGGAAAGTCCTCCACTACCTCACTTACTTTAGCTGGTGTTCCTCAAGGTGCTGTTCTTTCTCCCTTTCTGTTTTCGTTTTTCTTACATGAGTGCCTCATTCTGATGTCGCCACTTTTGTTAAGTATGCCGATGACCTCTCTGTTTCTTTGCCTGTCAACTCTCAGTCAGATTGTTCCAAATTAAATAACTTTCTGTCGGAAATTAGTCAGTGGTCCTCTTCAAACGGACTTAAGCTTAATCCGTCTAAATGTCAGGTAGTCAATTTCACTTTCAACGTAAATGTGACCTACAGCAACTAGTTAGCTCACATGGCCCCACTCTCATTGACGGCACAGAGGCTGAAAATACATCTAATGTCAAGTACCTTGGGCTGAGTTTTTCCACCGATCTTTCCTGGTCCTCCCACATCTTGCTAGTTACTACAAAGATGTTTCGCTCAACGTTCTACGTCAGGAAATTTAGGCAGTCTGGTATAAAGCAGTCTTTGCTTTCTCAGTTTGTCAATTCTTTGTCAATTATACCCATCCCCCTTTACTGCTCCCCATTAATCTTTCCTGGACTACTTAAGAAAGACTTTGCTTCGCTGGGGAGGGCACTAAAAGCTGTTAGTAGGGCAAGTGGAATATCGTTAAACCAACTGGTTAACACTATTGTGGATAGACACATAATGTCATATAAGAAACTAGCGAATACAATATTGTCGGACCCCGAGCATCCTCTCTATACGCAGCTCTCTCCTTGTATTTCATCTGGAAGAACTAGAAACAGCTATAGGAGGCTATATGCTAGGACTACCAAATACAAAAAGTTCACAATACCATATCTGGCACAGCTGTTATGTGATGAGAAATCCGTTAGGTATGACAAGATAAACTTACTACGGCACTCTAACAAATAGTCCCATTAGTTTTTGTTTTCCTTTCCTCGTTACTATTACACTGTTGTTCTCATCTTCTATTACACACTAATTTTATATTTCATATCCTGTGGTGCATTGTTTAAAATGTAAACGCAACGCTGTTGTTTTTATCTATTTTTTTATTTATCTTTTTTGTTTGAGTGTTGCTTTTTTGATTTTAAAATCTTATAAAATTTATGAGGTAATTGGATGCAATATATTGTAATGTACGCTGAAAATTCCATACCTATACCACAAATACTGTTTGGAATAAAGCTATCAATTATTACTATAATTATTATTATAACAGTTAGTTTAAGCCAGCCAGCCATGTAAGGAGGTGTAGACTTCCTGACTGGCTGGTTGAAGTCCTCAGGACAGTAGAAACCAATGAAGGCTGAAAATTGTTATCATTGATGGCGCCAATGCATTCACTCATCCTTTGCAAATTTCCATTTCCAATAAAATTCTATTGTTCTTCCATATTATAAATATTCTTTTTGCCACATATTTCTGTTTATCATTTCCACTCTCTTCTCTTTTGCATTGTGTACTACATGAACATGGAGTATAGTAATTCAAACCGCTGCACATCTGTGTAGAGTAGTTCTATGTTGAAACCAGTCGGTCAGTCACATTGTTTCTGATGGAGGAAATGAGGAATTATGCATAACCTTGGAGCAAGATGGAAAAGACTGCAGTAGACAAAGTGAAAGGAAGATGAGCTATGTTTTAAATGGAACCCAATAGATTGTAATAATAATAATAACAGTAATAATAAGTGCAACTCTGTTGTGTTTAGTAAGCTGTATAACTTTTTCATAAAATTTAAGTCAACACGGGTATTATAAATTTCAGGGTGGACGATGTGTCAAATGTTGCATACATTTTGGTGTGTATTACAATGTAACAAATTTTGCATAAGCAAAATAATTAAGTGTGTACTTTTCGTTTTTTTGTTTTCTTAATTACAGGTTTCTGCAAAGCCTAATGAAAAGATGCTTAGCAAATGATCGATTCCTAGCGAAGAGTGTTAGGTGAATTTAGGGGACAAAACGCAATTCTGTATCTATCTTTGTACGTGTGTAGAAGGCATCATCATTTTTGTATAGACAAATCTTAAAATCTCTTTCTGATTGTTCAGTTTTTGATACCTCCGATGCCTCCCTCCCCAGCCCGCGCTCCCAAGTGTGATGAAAACTGTGAGATTGTTTCAAATGCTGATTGATTGTGTATTTCAGCTTTTTTTTAGCTTGAGTTGTAGTCATACAAAAAGGCAAAGAAACAAACGACTTTTGTACAAAATTATTCCTTTTTTTTTACTATAAAACTTTTCTGCATATGTTGTCTTCCCTACTATTGAATTCTAAGTTAACTTTAATGTCAGTGTAGAGCTTAGCCAGCACTGTGGTGGTCGAATGTAATTCTATAACTAGATAAGTTTATTTTTAAATATATCAGACAGTGAGGCGTGCAGTGCTAACACCTGGATGACAAGGTTTCGAGAATAAATAATTGCTACTCATTATCGTATCATTTTAGTTACACTGTTCGACAATTTATCTCTCTTTCTATCTCTCTCAAACTTCGTCATGTTGTTAGTTGTCAACTTTCATATCTCTGATATAGGCGGTGCGTTTCACTTCGTTGTGTCATTTCGATTGCTCGTGTTGTGTGGTGTTGAATCGATAAACGAAGCTTCAGTGATTAATCTCTCTCTCTCTCTCTCTCTCTCTATATATATATATATATATATATATATACACCTAACGAATTGGACATATGTTGACGAGACCGTTGAGTGACGTCATGCGTCAGTCATGTCCCCGGATGGGACCTTACTAGGAGAGGATGAGTTTGGCTTGATTCTAAAAATGCCAGAGAGGAGACCGTGTCAGGAGAAAACTGAAACGCTTACGAGTAGTCGTGGAGCCAGCTAAGAAAGACTGCAGAGAACAGAGTGAAATGGAGATGTGCTCCTGAACGTCTATATTTCCGTCAGGATTATTATTTTTTAATAATTACTGTTTCCTTCAATTCCTAGAGAAACATAGGGGTTCAGCCGAACGTCTCCATTGCGTTCGGTTGTCTGCTAACGTCCTACTCACCTGGCTCCAAGTCTGCCCACATGCTGTGATCTTCTCTTCACACGACCTCCTCCAAGTCAGCCTTGGCCGGCCAACTCGTCGCTTCCCGTTCGGGTTCCACTCGAGCAATGGCCTGTCTAGTGATAACACTTGATGGTTTCCTCAGAGTATGACCAGTCCACCTTACTGCATTTCTTCCTGCTTATGTGTTGCGCATTCGGTTCCTGTTTGGTTTGTTCGCTCATTACCGGAGATACCTGTTACTGATCTTTTCTTGCCACCCATCTGATCTTGAGTATTGAACGAAGGCAGCTACTGATGAAGGTCTGTAGTTTGTTTGAGGTGCTCTTCATGACGCGCCAAGCCTGTGATCCGTAAAACAAGTAGTGCTTACTTCACATTGAGTTGAAAATCCGGATCTTATTCTTCATTCTGAGTAGTGCTGTTAATCTCCACAAAGTCTTGAGAATAGCGGAAGCTTGCCTAGCTTTCCCGATCCTTGCTTTGTATCCTCATCAATTCCACCTGTAGTTGAAACGATGCTTTACAGGTCGGTGGGTAAAGGAGATTTTTCTTTCAGGTTCTTCCCATTTATGGTGATTGTTATCTGCTGTTGTCGCTGTTGCTGTTGCTATTGGCCAGGAATCTTCATCACCTCTGTTTTATCTATATTCACCTGAAGTCCTATCTTTGATGCTTCTTCTGCCAGCGTGTTGCTTTTCATCTGCATATCTTCCAGTTTGTGGGAAGTCAGACACATATATCACATCGGCGAAATCCAGATCCTCCAAGTGTTTTGTGTGGATCCATTTTATGCCTGTCTGCTAGTTGCCTGCTAGTGTCTGTTGCATTATCCAATCTACCAACCGCAATCACAGAAATCATTGGAAATAGTAGGCAGCAGACTTGTCTTATTCCCGTCTTCGCTTTTCTATAAGGATTCCGTGAGTTTCCCGTTGTGGATTACTTGGCATGCATCATTGTCGTACAAGTGTTGGATGAGATGTATAATTGTTGGCGACAATCCTTGCTAGTAACGAAGTAGTTTCCAAATCACCTCTTGATCGCACCTGTCTGTTGAAGGCCTTTTCAAAGTCGATGAAGTTGAGTGTGGCAGAGATAGTTGACTGCCATTCCAAGCTCTGTTCAATGATTATCCACAGTGTTGCAGTGTTCCGTCAGCATACACTGTGTTAATTTACTGACTAATTTCATTATTAGTCAGTAATCTTTATCTTATTTATTGCATGAAAGTCGTCTGCCATTGAGTAGTCGCCGTTGGTAGATGATACCAGTGTGTCAAAAATAGGTGCTGATTTCGCGTCTCATTACATATATCATCATTCTAATGTGGACACAGCCATCTGCCTTGAAAATCAGTACTAGGCAATATTGAATGAGTTAATGATTTAGTGAGTTTCTTGTTGAATTCGTCGAAGTAGCCATCGGTTTCTGCAAGGTGTTAATAGGCTATGCTGACCCCAGCCAAAAAGCATGAAACCTAGATCCAAGGCTTCTTGGTGACCAACAACTTAATAACATTCGAAAGCCCACCTCGACTTCACGTCATCTAGAAGCTTAGTGACTACATGGCAAAATTTACGAACAAATGACAAAATTCATGATATTTGTAGATATCTCTCAACATTAATTACAATCTACACGTGTGCAACGCATACGAGAAGTTTTAGTATTCGTCAGTTTATCCTGGTTGCATTTTGACAGATGCATACCATCAATTTTTTCGTCTTCTGATACCTTCCTTGAGACACTTCCAGACAATATAAGCATTTTCGTAGCGAACTGAAATCACTTAGGGAATAACTGAAAACAACCGAGAGCCACAGCAAACGTCTATTCCCTTATTTTGAAATGCCATAGTGTGCATCCATGACTCACTCAAATAGGAATTAAAATCAGGATCTTTAAGTCAACGATATGAGTTAGTTTATCCATCCAAGATTAGAATTTATGTTTTTAAGCAAAAGTTATGAATATGTATTCTATATTTCCGTGAACAGTCTACAACCTACTTATTTAAATTAAAGTAGTATTTTTGGTATCATTCAAGAAATGAAACTGTTTTACTACACAGTATGTCCAGTCAATAAAACTTTGTGGAATTATATGATGTGAGTGTAATTTGTACACATATTTTGATCCAACTAGTGGCACTTTGTTTCATTTCCAAACATGTATTGAATTGTGCGTCGGTGGCACAATGGTTAGGACTCTCGACGACCATGCACATGGTCCGGGGTTCGAGCCCACACCGGCGCACACCAGATATCTATGTTCGGCCTGCGAAATTTGGGCTACCGATATCCACGCTGAAAATTCCATACTTGTACCAAAAATACAGTGTGGAATCAAGCTATTTCCAAAAATAAGAAAAAAAATAAAAATGTGGCTGTGTGTTACTGAATCCGGTGAGTTTCTCTTCGGTGATGTATTTGCGCAACACATTTTGGACATTCTGACACACACACACACGATTACTTGTCATACACACTTATATAGAAGCCAAAAAGGCATGAATCATTATAACACAGGTGAGATTTAGAAAACAAAAGGACCGAGCGAAGAAATATTTTACTTTTCAATTAGATCCTCATCTCTGGCTCTACTCTAATATACACAGCATTTTTATTACAATACACAACAGTTTACCAATCAAGTGGCGCTGATATGTTGTCAACAATAATTAGTCAGTGTCAACATGTGAAGAGTGGTGATAATTAACGAAGAAAATTAATACACACAATTAAAAGTAGAAATGGTTAGAATAAATTAATTTTACAAGGATAACACGTAAATTAAAGATGAAGTGGTCAAAAAAAATAATAAAATAATTTGGATGATTATAATTTTAAAGGTTTAGGGGTAGGGGGCCGAAGTAGTCCGGTTTATACATTCATGTAACGATGGCCAAGGTAAGGAAAGTGGCTGTACAAATTTCTTTTCAATACACAGGTTTGACTTCTTCAGGTGGATTCCTGTTACGTCAGCTGTCTGTAGAAGACGAACTCGTAGAGCAAAATTAAGTTTAGTAGGAATGTGATGAATAATTTTAAATGCATTATTAATGTCAACCTTATGCTCACTATCTACAAGGTGTGCTAAAATAGAGCTACGAATAGATCTGTTTGTCCCTTGCTTAACCATGTTGGATGATTTCGGAAAACAATGATGACCCGCCTAATTGTACGCCCCAATCCGAAAGCATCGTGTTCATTCCTTTTCACTATTGTTTTAATGAACTAATTACGGCAATCAGACACAGTCTATACTCGCGCACAATTTGAAATAAGATTTTACCTAACTCTAGGAAATTTTTTAAGGAAATAAAGGAAGAATATTGCAGAGAAGCTTCGGATCATAGTCTTCGTCTTTACATCTGCGAACGACAGAAGAGAAGAGTCAGGCAACAGATTGTTTATTAAAAAATCAACAGATATTTATAGATTTTATGTAAATTATAATCAGCGTTATTTTTAGCAGAGAAGCAACGTCTTCTAATTAGTTGTCCTCTATCTGTAAATCGAATTGTCTTAAACAGTCCGGTCTGCGAATGGTATCTGCTCACGTTAGGTCTGCTGTGATGGTTGTTGAGTTCCTTAGGCTTATGCTTTGTTTTCTCTTATGACCAGGATTCGGGACGTAAGCATTGACGTAAATTGTTGTCTACAATCTTGGTTTGCAGACAGCTCTTACTACAACACTAACACCAAAATGACAGGGAATTTCTAGAAGCCTAGTATTCAGGCTAAAAAATTGGCAATCAACAGCCACATCGACATAGATAAGACTTATGATCAATAAGAAGAGGAAATCACATGAACAAACGGTCAACAGAAACTCGAGCAATAATTCAAATGGACTAGAGGATGGGAAAAGTATCCAGAAACGACCAATCACATTCAACG